ACACTACAGATGTTGGCTGTGAGGGGAAATAGCAGGAAGGAGCAGCCCAGCTCTGGTGCCAACCGTGCTGCCCGACACACATCGCATATGAATAGTAATACCAGCAACAGTACTCATAGCAGTTACTTGGTGTTGCACGTGCCTCTATGCTAGGCATCCTAAATATATCGTCACTGCTCCTTACAACAGCCCTCACTGACATTTATTATTCCCGGTTTGGAGATGAGGGGAGCTCTGAGCCTACTTTCCTACAAAAGTATGACTTGCTCGAAGTTAATGGCATCTGCTTGCATGGGAAGGACTTAAAAGCTAAAGTCCTCACAGGCTCCTGGGGACAGCATGCATGGCCCCTGCGATATTACTCACTCTATTAATAATAGTGAGAAAAGCTTTGCCAGATTGAATAAAAGTGATTTTCCCCCATTCCAGGCATGTCACTTCTTAGTTTAGTGGCTTGATTAACATGACTTCATTGATAAGAATAGACTTGGTTACTCCCCCTTTTCCATTCCTGGCCTTGTCTCTGCTGCACTTGGAGCGTCAGTGAATGTAAGAGGTAATAAAGAGGAGTAGCAATTCATACATATGAAAGTGAATGAGAAATAAACATAGACATTGACCACAGTCTAGAAAGGCCACCTTGGTAATAAGCAGAGATGAGAAAGCAACCATTTCAAACCTTCCCAGGCTCCTCAGGGCCAAAGGCCAGGCCTTCCCACTCTCTTTCTGCACATGAATGAGTGTCCCTCACAAAATGCTGGCTCTCTTATTGTTGTTTTTGGAAAACAAATGCTTCCTTCCAAGTTTCCCCCTCCCAATTAATATCTGTGCTCAGGACTCTGAGTCCCTGGACACATTACTATGGATTTATCCAGGTTTGAGGTCTCGATTTCGTGATTTCCTCCCCATCTTCCTGGTCTCTCCAGAGCCCACTGAGTTATGACACAAACTTCCACTGGCCTGGAGGATGTTTAGATGATCCCATACCATGCCTCAGCCTTCCTCCACGTTTCCCCTGCTGCCAGGATGTGGCTCTCTGAAAATGTAGTTTATTCTCATTGCAGTCACTTCCCAGACCCATTTAAAAATGAGAAGAGTGCCGCTGGACCTGACACTTACCCTCCACAGACTTCCCTCTCTGATCTTCCCCTCCATGTTCATTTCTCATCACAGAAACTAGGTTTAATCCCCACCCCCAACCCCACCCCTGGTATCAGATCTCAGATTAACTTTTAAAAACATATGCATCCTCCCCAGCATACCAAGTTATGTTACAGTCTCCTAGTTATGACACCCCCTGTAAGGTCAACAATAAGCCACTGCATTGCTATGAATACAAAGATCAGGGTCATGTGACTGAACCCATAGAAGGATGCCAGAACAGTTCACATGTGTCACATCTTGGGCCCAGAAACTCTGGGAAAAGTTCTTTCTCTTATACCTGGAGCCTTGTAGAAGCCACCATCTGGCTTTTTCTCCTGACTCCCTGGTTCACCATGTTTCCATGCAGAATCTCTCCTGTTCTGAGTTGCTGTTTGACACACCATCTAACTAGTGTTTTGATTCTGGGCATGTGCATTCTTCCTGTTGTGTCTTTGACTATAAGCTCTCTGAATACATAGATTATTTCTGTGCCCTTCAGGCACTCTCCAAAGACTCTCCTACTGTGGGAGTTTGATCAGTGTTGGCTGCCTATTGGGTCAGGAGGGACATTGACTGGGGGACTATGAATTGAGAATATAATTAAAAAGACTTGAGAACACAGACACAATAACAAATTCCTGTATTTCCATAGCACTGGTTAAGAATTAGATTCTTACAATTGCTTTCTAAGAAAAATAGGGTAGATATTATAATTCCCATATCACATGTGAAGAAACTGAGGCTCTGAAAGGTGAAGTGACATCCCCAAATCACATAGCAAATAAGTGCAGAACCAAGGTTAAAAGTCTGGTCTTCTGAGGATTGTCTAGTGCAGTGTCTCCCAAAATTAAAAGGAAGAAGGGGTGGGAAATAGCCAAAGTGCTCATCAATGCATGAATGGCTAAAGAAGATGTGGTGTATATTCACAATGGAATAGTATTCAGCCATGAGAAGGAAGGACATCCTGCCTTTTGCAACAACAGGGGTGAAACTTGAAGACACTATGCGTGAGATAAGTCAGAGTAAGAAAAATACTAGTACATAGAGTCTAAAAATCTAAACTTTTATGGAAACAAAGTGTGAATTGTTGGTTACCAGGAAATAGAAGGAAGCAAATAGGTCAGATGTAGTTCAGATCTGATGCACAGTAGAATATGGACAACAATATTATATTACAATCACCAAACTTGCTAAGAGACTAGAATTTAATTATTCTAACCACTAAAAAGAAAGAAAAATTATATGTTAGGAGAAAGTTGCTAATTATTGCTATAATGGCCATCATATTACAATAGATAGATGTATCAAATTAACATTTTGTACAACTCAAAGTTACACCAGGTTATATGTTAAACATATTTTTGAATTATGAAAAATAAATGCAAAAATAAAAAAGAAGGGAAACTCAGAGATGGCTATAATATGTCCTTGTCCTAATTATCCTTTCTACAAATTCAAGTGCAAGTACCACCTAAACTATAGATGGGAAGTTTCAGTAGGATAAATGTTTGGGGGCATATAAACTCTGAAGGCAGATATGCTCTCAAAGGTATGAGCTTGTAAAAGGACAAGCAGAGACCAGAGGGATCAGAGACTGGCACTACTTGGGAACTGAGTCTGGGAATGAGTAAAAAAAGAAAGTGGTAGAAAAACGAGAGGTGTGATAGGGTGTTCAAAGAACAGAGAGGGAGGCTAGGAGAAGGCATCAAATGAGAGAAGTTGGACAGAAAAGAAGGAAAGGAAAAAGCATGGGAGTAAAAGAAAGATGGGAAGGAGAGCAAAGAAGAAAGAGAAGTAAAGAGGGGGGAAAATGAAGGATATACACATTTTCTATATCTCTAGGTTTCCTGCTAAAAGGATCATTCTGGTAACAGAAGCAGTAGCACTGGCATTAGTTTTGCTCACCTTCTTTCCGTGGATCAGCCAGCAAAGATAAAAACATAGGAAGCAAGATACAAATAGAATGAGATTAACAGAACATTATTCAGATAAATTAGAGAAAGGAAAAGAAAAATATATATTGAAGTTAGAAGAAAGAGAAGAAAAATGGGTTGGCCATTTTAGGACACCAGCAGAGGTAAGCAGAAGCCTCTATCTAAGGCTCAGGCTTAGGTCATGTTGCCAGCAGACTGGAGAACATCAGTGGAGGAGATCTAGAACAAAGATGACATATCCCATTTGAAGACAGCAGTAAAAGGAGTGAAAGGTTTAAAACTGAGAGACAAAGAATGTAGTAGTACAATTAAGGGGGGAGAGGGGAGATCACAGTTGTGGTCCTTATGAAACCAAGACTTTAAGGCATATGACCCCAAAACATTGACCTTTTATTAGCAGAAGTGTGCAGCTAATATTCATGTCTATCTTTGTTCCTTGTTTAATAGTCATGTGTCCACTATGGAGGTATTATCCATCTTAATAAACCTGTAAAAACGGAACCCCCGGACTTTATCCTTCTTGAGTAGGGGACTCATAATGGCATCCCACATGATGGTACTTGATGAGTTATATTTTTTTCCTTTTGTTTTCTTTTATGTGTGTGTTTTATAAGTGATTTTTTTTTTCCTGGAATGGTAAATCTGTTTGGTAGTGAAGATGTAAACATATCCAATAATGCTAATCAGAATGGTGCTGTGGACTATAAGGATGCTAATGACAGTGGAGATGGTGATACAGGTAGGTGATACAGTGGAATGGAAGGCAACAAATATTGGGAGGCTGGGAATTATGGTAGTTAAAATGATGAAAATAATCTTTGGAAAACTTGGTCACCACTTGTGAAATGACTGTGTGTGTGTGTGTGTGTGTGCGTGTGTGTGTGTGTGTGTGTGTGTGTGTGTGTGTATGTGGCAAAGTTACAGAGACAGAGACAGAGAAACAGAGACAGATAGAGATAGATTACCCATATATTACTCATGGTTAAACAAATTATCATCTGCCTCAGGACTCTTACTAGAACCATCTCAAATGGTCAAAACCAATAACCACCCATTTCACCTAAAATGCCTAATTAAAAAAAAAAAAAAAAAAAAAAAGGAATGGTGAATCTATGGCCAGGTTTCCTTTCTTTTTGGAGGTGTGAGGTGTTTGCTGGATTTTGTTTTACAAGAAGACTGTCACCTAGGAATTCCATAAGAATGTTTTTAAATTATACATAGAAAATATCAGCTAAAAAGGGCCTTAAAAATCATCTAAAAAGGGCCTCTCAACCCAGATATGGATGACAACCTCCTTGGGATATTTTTCATAATACTGATGCCAGAACCTCATTTCACACCAACCAACAAAATCAAAATCACAAGGTGAAACATTGGTATGAACACTTTGAAAGTATTCCCAAATAATTTTGACCAACTCTTCCAATGAGGAATCTTCTATTTTACAGAAGAGATGAGCCAAGCCCACCACACACAATACTTAGTGGCAGAGTTACAACCAGAATATTCATAGTGCATTTGGTGCAATTTTCCCTGCATGCTGCTGACCCAATCATTATGGGTTGCTGTCTCTTCTCATTGTTACATTTACTCTAAAAAAAATAAATAAATAAAAATGACTGCCTGTGTTGGGACCCCAAGAAGAGGAAGAAAGAAGAAATCAAGAAGCTAGGTCAGGGAATGTCTGGCTTCTCATGGAGCCCATTTCAGGCGGAGTTCTGAGGTGAAAGGATCTCCAAACCTATCCCCTCTCCTTCCCCAAACTCCTTCTCTGTCCCACCCACATCATTTCCCATACTTAGGGTCCTTGGGTACATAAGTGTGATTTCACCTCCACATTATCCCACATGACCCTGTTCCCCAGTTATTCACATTCAGCCAGCCCTCAGGGGGCCCTTAAACCCAGAATAAACATGTTCATACTTTCTTGGTGGGAACTTTGATCTTCAAGAATTCTGCTTCTCTGGCCAGCACCTGCCACGGGGCATGTATCCGGACAAAGATGGATCCTTGGCTTTTATTCTGTAAGATACAATGAAAGAAGAAATAGAAACACTTATAAGGACATAGCTTAAATTTCTGGTTCCCCAAAGTAGAAGCCACAATCTGGTGTTTCTTCAGTTTCTTATTTTTGTATTTTTTAATCTTCACCAGGGACTAGTCTCCTCCTACCCATACCATTCTGTTTCAGAAAAGTTCTCATCAAAGCCCATAGGGCAGTATTAGTGTGGTCCCTAAGGTTTGGTGGCTTCACGGGGAAAGAAAAAGTTAAAACCATTGTGTGCAGAGATTTGAAATGTAAGCAATTATGATTTTCATAAAAATTCTGTTAATTCTCAATAGTAGTTATGTGGTTTACTTCTGCCAGTATTTGGTGAATAGCCTGCAATTTGTCTACATGTACCTATTTTCATTGTTTGTTGTTAAGTTTGTATTTTTGTTCTACTATTGTCACAGCCCCAAATCACAAAAGGGATTCACCCATGCCAAATAGTAATTATATAAGTAATAATTTGAATTATTATAATAGTATCATATATATAAATAATGACCAGGGCTCGTGTGAATGTACGTTCCAGGTCAAGTGATTCTGTGAGTATATTGATTTCACCCAAAAATGAAGATGAAAGAAAATGCAGTGATGAGTGTTTGAAAATTAGGTCTTAATGACTGGCCCTCGTCGCAGTGTCTGTTATAAAACCTGGTCAGATTATGACAAGAAGCATCCGTTTCCACTTATCTTCAAATAAAGCCTCAAATGTTTTCAGAACAAGCACACACTGGGGAAAAAACTTTTTATGACATAAATTTAATTAATTTTGTCACCAAAAAAAATGAAAGAGACCAGAACAAGTAGGAAATAGGCAAAAGCCCCACCATTTATGAAAAGCATCTAAAACTACCTACAAAATTAATCACAAACACTATGTCCACGGAGAAAGTAGAACAAAAATGATAGCAAAATTCCTTCATCAAATGACTGTCGGAAACCACCTAAAACCTGTGCACCATAGAGGGGAGATCCTGGTATGCTGGCCAACATGCCATTCAGAGACAGCCTCTGAGGGGCAGAGTGGGGACTGAGGAGCTAACAAGCATGCTCTACAGAGACACCTACTTGAAGCATCTTGTTCCATTTATCCCCTGAAAACCCATGCTCCAGGAGAAAGGAGGCTTTATTAAATTACTGTGTGTCTTGTGAAGTAGGATGCATGGAGATCAGTACTGAAGAGGCACCGACTCCATGTGCAGCAAAGATGTTGTTGCTCACAGAAAAGGAGCTATCCCTTTAGAAAACTATCCCCCAACTTCATTCACAGAGGCCAGTTGGTGGTCAACAACTTGTCCTCTGGTCTTGGTTTAGTGGTTGAAGATAGTAGCCTCTGACCCTACCCTTCCAGTGTGCCAGCCAGAGGAATAGTGACAAGAACACTGTTCTCCCCACTGAAGGACATTGACTATGATGGTGCTTGCATATGAAATGATAAATACAATAAAAAGATACGTTATTATGCTCATAATGCAAAGTAAGACTATGTCTTTGATTTTAAATGGTGGCTCTGACATATATTCAGTAATTCAAACATCCAGAACCTATCCCCACTTTGTGAATAAAAGCTGGTGATTTATAAGGGAGAAGAATAAAAAAAGAAACAAAGATTTTGCAAGAATATTGAACTATGCAATAAAAGTCTGGGATAGTCCAGAGTTCAAAATACCTGAAAAGAATCACAGTAATTGTGATGCTTATTTACTGAGTGTATGTCACATGTCAGACAGAATTGGGTAATTATGTGCTTCAGCTCACAGAATGTTTACAGTCCTAAGACAAAATACTCAACCTCTCAGCCAAGTGGACACAGTTATGACAGAACACTGGACGTGGCCTTCAGTTAGAAATTTCCCTAATTTGTATGTCCATATATGATTACAATATTCATAACTACTGGACAGAGTTTTCAATCACTTGTTGCTACTTCTAATAGCAATGTAAGCTTTTCTAATTTAGTGAAAATAAAAATAAGAAAGGAAACAATCTGTGAAGCTGGTCTACAACCTAGCTCTCCATTATGGGGACATTAGTTGCCTCTAGCAAAGCATTCTTCCTCTCCAGTCTCCTCAAAAGAACTTGTTTCAAGTAAAAATAAAAGCTAGAATGCAATTTTGTGGTGCTAACATGTAGTCATCATGTTCTTTTTATGCCATTCCATATTGTTACCTTCTCATAAAGAGAAAAACATGAGAGCTGATGTGAAATATTAGCTGGTGTGACTGGCTATGTCTCCTGAAGAAAAACAAAACCCCTGAGCAGAACTTCCTCTCCATTCTTCTAAAATGCAACTTGTTTCAAGTGAAAATGAAAGCTAGAATGCAATTATGTGATGCTAACATCTAGTCATCATGCTCCTTTTATGTCATGCAATATTATTACCTTCTCATAAAATGAAAAACATGAGACCTGATGTGAAATATTAGCTGGTGTGACTGGCTGTCTCCTGAAGAAAAACAAAACAAAAACCCTGAGCAGAACCATCATCCAATGTGGAAGCCCTTTCACTAAAATTGCAGGTTAATGTAGATTAAGCCAAAAGAAAGAGAAGGAGAAGGAGGAGGAGAATGGGGGAGGGGGAGTGGTGGAACAGTGTAGGGGGGTAGGAAGAGGAGGAGGAGGGCGAAGAAGAAGAAGACAAAGGAGGAGGAGGAGGAGGAGGAGGAGGGAGGGGGGGGGCGCGCACGTTGGAAAGAGTCTGGGCTTCAGATTCAAACAGAGTAAGATTTGCATCCTGGATTTTATAGCTCTGAGACATTGGGCAAGTCACTTACCCAAATAGGCCTCAGTTTCTTAATCGAAATAAAGAAAAATATTTCAGGACTGTTGTGAAAACTGGAGATAAAGTATTGAAGTCTATGATATACAGCATGGAATGTGAATTGTTTAATAGATGTCAGACATTACTGACTAAAATTACTGTTTCTTGCAAGGACATTATTTGAGATTTCTAACACAGTAGGTTATCATTGAATTTCAGTGATTTACAGAAAAGACTTAGAGAAAAACAGTTCCTGTTAGACTAAAATTATGGATAAGTAATCCTGGTTTATTCCCTTGAACTTTTTTCTATTTTGGTTTGTTTTAGGGGGTTGTTGTTTTTTGTTTTCCCAATTTTTAAGTATAGTTCATATACAATATTATATTAGTTTCATGTGAACAGTATAGTGATTTGACATTTATATACCTTACAATGTGATCACCATACCAATTCTAGTAATTATCTGTCACCCTGCAAACTTATCACAATATTATTAACTATATTCCCCTTCACCTTTTTCATACATCCCTTCACACTGTTTTCAAAACGTCTCAAGGACCCTTAAAAAGTTCATAAGTTTTCTTGGCCAGTGTGTCTCAGTGGTTGAGCATCGACCTATGAACCAGGAGAACCATCAGGACACATGCCAGGGTTGTAGGCTTGATCACCAGTAGTGGGCATGCAATCAATAATCCTCTATAACTGATATTTCTACCTATCTCTCCCTTCCTCTCTGAAATCAATAAAAAAATATTTTTTAAATATATCTTCAAAATTTGAGGACTAAATCAGAAAACATTATTTTCTGAACCCAATACAAATTTAATTTAAATTTAAGAGTTTAGCCATCCGAGTATATGACCCATCCCTAAAAGAGATTTTATAAATAAGTAATAAATGTGATTGTGTGGTAGGATATGCAGGCTGTAATCGATAGGGGGCTACAAGGGCTATAATGGAGCTAGTGTCACCAGCCCCCAATGGATTTGTGATTTACAGCTGGCAAAAGACCAGCTCAATCCAACATGGCAACTAATTTTACCTGGCAGTAATCCCTAGCCTCATTACACATTCACTGTAATGCATTACCATACTAAACAATACACCCCACACCACCATGATTAGAAAAAGAAAGTCCATATTAGGACACAACATGGCCAACAGGGCTCTTCCAAAAAGTCTCCACGACTTTCCTGGGGAAATCCTGAATATTCCCTTTTCCTTACTGAATGCTCTACCCCTTGATTAAATGAGCCTCAATAAAAGAAGCAAATCCCAATAGAGAGTAGCCATTCTCTACATCACTGCTTCATTAATAAACCATCTTTCACTTTAAACTCTATGCTGACTTGAATTTGAATTCTTTCCTGTGCAAAGCCAAGAACTCTCTATGGATTATGGACTTTCAGGTCCCCAAATCCCAGAATGAATGCATCATCTGGAGGGGCTCCGAAATCCCATCGGGTAACTAAAATTTAAGTCAATGTAAAAAGAGTCGTAACATATAATTTTGTTCTGGTCATAAGAAAGAGGAGAACCAGTGCACAGAGATTTCTCTGGTAAAGCCGGAGTACATCCATCTGAGTGTGCATCTATTTCAATGGCAAGTAATGTGAGTTGTATGAAAGGGCAGGAAAACTTATCCAGCTCAATTGAAATGCCCCACAAACACTATGCAACTTCTTTCAGTGTTATTTCATTTTATAAAACCTTATAAAGTCTGTTTCTCCAATTTCTAGGTATCAGGAAGAAGGTACCCAAGAACAGAATATAAGTATTCTAGTCAAAGGAAACAAATAATCCTCAATCATAACCTGAGTCCCATCTTTCTTGGTCTACTTTAAGTTGTGTTGTCAGTTCATTTTCCAAACATATTTTCCACTAAGTAAACCAAGAGAAAACTGTGTTCACAAAGAAGCAAAATCTGGTCACCATCTTGAACTTGTATCCTGCCTAATCAGCTGGTCTCTCAGTCTCTTCCTTCCTGTCTAAGATTGCCTCAACAATGAACCTACTTATATGCACATTCTAAGGCACTAGTACCTCTACCTCTCCTCCCTGGACTCTAGCCACACAGCCCTTCTCATTAGTTTCCAACTGCTTCTATCAGCTTCCCACCTTGGCACCTCTTCATCCAACCATTTTCCTACTTTAGAGCCTCTTTAAAGTCTATTCCCTTTACTACAAAGTTCTCCCCAGCCCCAGACTCAG